GGGGCCGGCAGTTTGCGGCACAGAGCCAATCTGGGGACTTAGAAAGATTGTCTCAAAATAAATAAACAAACAAACAAATAAATAAATAAATGAAAAAGGCTTTGGGATGTGACTCGGTGGTGGAGCACCCCAGAGTTCAACACCCAGCACACACACACATCAAAAAAAACCCCAAAAAACAAAAAACAACTCAACTATGAATAAAAAATGCTATGAACATGCACATGTAGATTTGTGTGAACATGTTTTCAACTAATTGGGTAAATGTCAGAGAGTGCAACTCCTGGATTGTATGGAAGAGAATGCCTGGTTTGCAAGAAGTTGCCAAACTGTTTTCCAAAATGGCTGTACCCATTTTGCAATGCTAGCAGCAATGAGACTTCCTGTTGCTCCACATCCTTACCAGCATTTGGTGTTGTTAGTTTTTTGGGTTTTATCTATTCTGATAGATGTGATAATCTCATTTTACTTTTAAAACTCTCTAATGACTCATGCATGATATTGAGCATCTTTTCAAGTGCTTATTTGCTAAATTTGTATCTTTTGTGAGGTGTCTCTTTAGATCTGTTGTCTATTTTTAAGTCAGGTTTTAATTCTTATTGTTGAGTTCTTGGTAGATTTTGAATAATGGAACTTTTTTTGATATGTCATTTTTCCCAGCATGTGGCAAATCTTCTCATTCTCTTGACAGTGTCTTTAACCCAGAAACTTAATTTTAATGAACTCCAGATTTTTAATGTTTTCTTTTACAGATCTTGCCTTTGGTGTTGTATCTAAAAAACAATTGCCAGATCCAAGATCTTGCATTCAGATAGATTTTCTTTTCTGCAATATTCTAGTAATTTTTAGATTTTTGAATTTACATTTAGGTTTTGATCAATTTTGAGTCAATTTCTGTAAAGGTATAAGGTCTATATCTGGGTTCTTTTCTTTCTTGCATGTGGTTACCCAATCGTACCAGCATCATTTGTTGAAAGGACTACTTCTTCTTTTTTGTACTGCCTTTGCCCCTTTGTCAAAGATCAGTTGACTACTATATGAGTCAATTTCTGAGGTCTCTCTTCCATGGATCTATTTGCCTGTTCCTTTTTTATCTTTTGGCAGTGTTGGGGACTGAACCCAGAGCATCATGCATGCTAAGCAAATGCTCTACTACTGAGTATACCCCCATTTCCATTTGCCTATTCTCTTGCCAATACAACAACTTGACCTTGATTACTATAGTTTTATAGTGGGTGTTAAATAACTTAGTGTTGGTCCTATGATTTTTTTCCCTTCTTCTATATTGTGCTGACTATTCTGGGCCTTATGCTTCTCCATATAAATTTTAGAATCAGTTTGCCAGTATCCACAAAATTGCTGGAATTCTGACTGAGATTTCATTGAATCTAGAATCAAGTTGGAAGAACTGGCATTCTGACTATATTGAGTTTTTCTATCTGTGAACATGGAATTTCTCTCCACTTATTTGTTCTTTTTTGGTTCATTTTATAGGTCTTTTAGTTTCTCTCATAGATCTTGTACATATTTTGTCAGATTTATAACTAAGTATTTCATTTTGGAGAGACAATAATATTAAGATAGTATGTACTTAATTTCAAATTCCATGTTAACCTTATATGATAAAACTCAGTTATAATCTTTTATTAGTTTTAGGAGCTTCGTATGTTTTCCTTTTTGTGTGTGTGTGTGGGCATAACAGGGATTGAACTCAGAGGCACTCAGCTACTGAGCCATATCCCCAGCCCTATTTTGTATTTTATTTAGAGACAGGGTCTCATTGAGTTGCTTATCACCTCGCTGTTCCTGATGCTGGCTTTGAACTCTTGATCCTACTACGTGTGTGTCACCACACCCAGACTCATCTGGTTTTATCTCCATTCTAGATAGAAAAAAGGAGACCATCAGACACATCAGAAGAAACTCAAATTTTTAGGGTCAAAATTGACAGCTGCAACAGAGAAATCAGGCCCTGCTTAGAAAATGGAAGTGACATTTTTGTATATTTAGAATGTAACAAAATGTGTTAATTATTACTTTATAAAAATAAGGCAAGTAGTTATCTGGTGAATTAATTATGTAGTCTCAGAAAGGTTCTTTGCCTTACCTGACCTATAATCTAGTACATCTGACTTCCTAATTCTGGCTGTCTTTACAAGTGGAAAGCTATTTTCTTAACCCAGGGCCCTCCAAACTTATCTGCTCAAGTCCCTTCAATATTATAGAAGAATGGGAGCCTACCTCAGCTACTCCATGACTTCATGTTACTTTGATTTCTTCTTTCTTTTTAAAAGTTATACTGATTTGCACTCTTTTCGGAAAACATCTTTGATTCATAATAAAATATCTAAATAATATCATATAAACTGCAAATCTTTTTCTGCATCTTAAACTTGATGCTACAGTAAGATGTAGCCGGGTACAGTGGCCCACGCCTGTAATCCCAGTGGCTCCAGAAGCCGAAACAGGAGGATCTCAAGTTCAAAGTCAGTTTCATTAATGGCAAGGCACTATGAAACTCAGTGAGACCCTGTCTCTAAGTAAAATACAAATTAGGGCTGGGGATGTGGCTCAGTGGTTGAGTGAACTCTTATTTCCTATGTGTGAGCATCCTTCTTTACTCTTTGTCCACTTTTGCACACTTCAGAGGGACTAGTTAGATTGGATCTTTTAAAAGGGCTAGGGTATAGTTCAGTTGGTAGAGTGCTTGCCTTACATCTGCAAGGTCCTGGGTTCAATCCCTAATGCCACCAAAAAAAAAAAAAAAAAGTTAACTGGGCTAGGGTCATAGCTCAGTGGTAGAGCACTTGCCGAGCATGTGTGAAGGACTGGGTTTGATTCTTGACACCACACCTAAATAAAGGTCCATTAAAAACTGAAAAAATTTTTTTAAATCGTAAAAACCAAACTATATTTTTTAGATAATGTAACTGCAGTTTATTACTGCTCACAATCATAACACACAACCACAATTTTCCACATAGTGGCCAATAGTCAGGTAATCAAATTCATACCAAATTAGATAATTTTGAACAGTTTTTTTTTTTTTTTTTTTTAAATCACAGCTGGACAGTGGTCCGTTTTTATAGTCACCATGGTATGCAGACCAAGAAATGTCTACTTAAAAAAAACATCTCACAGGGGCTGGTGTAGTGGCTCAGTGGTAGCGTGCTCGCCTAGCATGCATGAGGCACTGGGTTCGATCCTCAGCACCACATAAAAAATAAAGATATTGTGTCCACCTAAAACTAAAAACTAAATTAAAAAAATCTCACAAATACTGAAGTCATCTCTGGTTACAGATATTAACAGAAAGAATCTTACAGATCTCTTCAAGTCTCTCGGTCCCAGAGACCGTCGCACAAACCCCCAGTCATTGCATCCATTCACGACCCCGGTGTGACCTTCCACGATGTGATCTCTAACGCCAAAGGAAGCCGACTCACAAGGGCGGGAGCTCAGATGCTAACCCAGGAACGTAATTCCACACAGTGTCCCGACAGCGAATTCACCAGCTCAGGCCATGACACAGCCATCTGTTCAACCGCCAGGCACCGCGGCAGGTAATCTAAGGCCCCCAGGTAATCTCGAGGTCTCCCCCAGGCCATTCCCTTGGACTTCACTCAGCTCTAAGTCCCGGACGCCCTCATTCCCATCTCTACCCKCTCTGGACTCCAGAATGCCTTCCTCAGCCTTTGCTGGGAACATCTGGCTTCCCTCTCAACCACCTCAAAGACCACGGAGCCGTCAGGCTCGCCCGAACCCGGAACRACTCACCGGCACGACTCGGGGCAAGCGCTCTCTCACAAGCCAGCCGAGTTGCAWGCCGGGAGCATTCCTGCCGCCCGCGCTCCAACTTCCGGGGGCACTCAGGCTGCGGACTACATTGCCCAGAAGTCTCCGGGGCATAGAGCTTTTGTGGGCGGGGTGAGTTTCCCTGCCGAGAACAAGTTTATGATCCAATTCCCAGCCTCCCAGGGTTTCCCGGTTCTAATTTCCCATAAGCCTCCATGTCCACACTAACCTCGGTCTCAGGGTCCCTTTCCAGTGTCCACAAGGTTCTCGGACTCTGCGTGCTGAGTCGGTCGCGTCCGAGGAAGTAAATCAGCGCCGGGTGACTGGGAGGGCTCAGCGAGCTGTGGCGGAGTCGGATCAGAACTGGCAGCGAGGATGCGGGTGACACTCGGGAGTTGCTGGAAGTAAAAAGGCCGGGACAGCTTGTCGTGTCCAGAGCCTCAAGCCTGCGTGCACGCGAGCAGCTGAGCTGGATGGTGTGTGACAGACGGCGTGACAGGGCTGAAAGGTGACTCCGTGATGGTGAGTGCGACGGGGTGTGATCTTATTCGAAGGTCTGSTTTACTTTGGCCACGTGCTCTAGGTAATCTTTAGGCTGTCTTTGAGCCTGTTACAGATAAATGACCACAAGAAAGTCTGAGTCCTTGAAAAGATTTCAGAAAAGAAGAATGAGACTTAGTTCTGCAGGTGACCACATGACAGGTTCCTGGAAAGATAGGATAGGGAAGTCCTGGAGGTAGGATCCTAAAAGAGGTGCCTCCAGGAGCTCTTTAGGTACCAGCTACATGTATCAGAGCTGCTTGCAAGCAGACCTCTATCCCGAGAATTGCTGTCAACTCAGAGATAAGACTCCAGTCTCYCTTTTAATTGTGTGGATGAAGGCAGTTGTGGCTCTAGAAGTTGTTTTGCTTTTATTTTTTCTTTTTGTGCTTGGAGAAATGCTAGTGTCTTATTATGATTCCTGATTTGTGACCAGTGTTGCCAGGTTCCTAAAAAGTACTGGAGGAGGAAGAAAGAATTTTTTGCATATTTAGAAATCAAGATTCAGGTGGATTTGCATTTTCTTTTCTTTTTCATATTATTACTTTTGCTTGATTAAAAGAACATTTACTGGGCTGGGGATGTGGCTCAAGCGGTAGCGCCGGGCCAGGGTTCGATCCTCAGCACCACATACAAACAAAGATGTTGTGTCTGCCGAAAACTAAAAAATAAATATTAAAAAAATTCTCTGTCTCTCTATCTCTCTCTCTTAAAAAAAAAAAAAAGAACATTTACTTTACTTAGCTGGAAATATCTTGACTAGTATTGTTAGTCTGGGTCTCCCTTCTGGTCAGTTACCCATCATGTGCATACACACAGTCCCCTGATCTTTAGCCATCTGTTCAACTCTTTTAGTGAATTTTAACATTATAGAAATATACCTCCTGGAGATTCACGTTAGAGCTTCATTTTAGAATATGATTAGTTGATGAGATTAGTATTTGAATGGTACTATGTCCAAACTTAAAAAAAATCTTTTCCACAGTTATGATTTAAGGTAAGGCAAAGTAGGAGGGTTTTAAAGGAAGGCAAGATTTCAGCCAATAAGTGACAATATTATCTGTTTTTAGGAGTACAAACATGAAATTGAGCTTTGAGTATAGGGATTTATGGTTTGCACCAACAAGGGTAGGGACTTTCAAATAATCTGTAAGTAAAAATCTGTAATGTTGTCAAACATGAGTTGTTTCAGGTTCAGCTTTTGTGATTTGTGAGAGACATACTGTGTTGTGGGTAAGAGTAAGGATATGGATCCAGACTATCTGCAGTCAAATCCTGGCTCTGCCTGTTGTTAGCTGCATGGACTTCTGGACAATTGAGTCAGCTCTTATCTATTCACCTGTTTGGAGCATTTCTTGGAGCCCAGTTGACTGTGACTGACACATCTACAAAATTCAGACAAAATAATGTCTACTATATGAGTTTACTGAATATTGAAAGTTATGATTCTAGATCATTCTCCATCAACTTGTTATAGATCAAGAACAACAGAAATATGAAGTTGATCATGATGAGTGCTTGCAAGTTAAAAAAGTTACCAGATGCTCAAATGCTCTAAGACAGGAAATCTTACACTGAGGGTTTCTTATTCCATTGATAAGGTTCCTGGTGACCATAAACCTTTCAAAATTAAGACAAATTTTTTCTAAATATTTGTAAATGTATTTTTGTAAGTGGTAAAACATGTCTATAATTTCACGAGACTGTCAAATGTGTAAAAATATCTGGCTGCATTGGTCTGGAACAAAGACTCTGAGAGCTAAGAAGGACCATTCATAAAATTTGTGTCCTTTAATATGGAAATAGTTAAGTAAATTGCAGTATATCTGGTGATAAAATATTATGTACCTAGCAAAAATTATGTTTATAAATAATCAGTAAGAAGGAAAAATATAAATGATATAATATTAAGTAATCATTATAATCATGAATAAAAGTACTCAAGAATATAAGTTATATTTGAATATCATTCACTAAATCAGGGTTTTAAAAGACTATCTTTAATCTMCTATATCCAAAAGTTATTTTAATTGGTAATCCAGTGAAAGTCAGAGGTATAGTCATATTTATTGAGCATCTATTGTGTACCAAATACTGTTTTGTTTATGTGCATATATTTTTTACACAGACTTTGAAGGTGGCTTACCTACTTCATGTTGATTGAAGAATTTTGACAGTGAACATATCATTGTATTGATGAGGGACAGCTACAGGACGCTCAAGAGCTGGTAGGTATAATTTGTTTCACTGATTTTCAGTGTTAGTGATGTTTTAGTTCCTTTAATGACTGAGTATGTACTTATTCTATCATTCAGTTTATTACATTTGGAAATGTCTTTATGTTTCTCATTATGGATTAATGAAAAAAATCAATAATCGAGGAGATAGAGTGAGAAAGAAGTTAAAATTATGTCTCTGGAGTTAATCATTCTTAATATTTTATTGTATTTTTATTCAAATCTTTTTTTCCTATGAGCTTATGTCTGGCAGAATAAAATCACAGTAATTGGTGAATAAATGAGTTGAAGGCTCTTTATATATTAGTTTAAAAAAGAAATCTAGCCCAGATGTGGCTTTTATCTTAACTATATAATAAAGAGAAAGAGAGGGACGGGGGAGGAGACATCAGTGATTCCTTTCTTATTTGAAAACCTTCAGGTACTTACAACACTTAGGATTATAGAAATACCATTTAAAAATGACCAGGCTCCTGAGTGTCTCCATGTGGTTTGGTATTTCTGTTTGGTCATTTCAATGTAGCCTTATATTATGGAGTCAGCTTCCTTCAGAACAGGCATTCCATTGAGAGCCCCTTAATGGGAATACTAGATAGAAGACGTGATTATCTTTAATCTACTGCATTGTTTATTAAAAAGTAATAATACACCAGGTGCAGTGGTGCATACCTGTAATCCCAGCAGCTCGGGAGGCTGAGACATGAGGATCATGAGTTCAAAGCCAGCCTCAGCAAAAAGCGAGGCACAAAGCAACTCAGTGAGTCCCTGTCTCTAAATAAAATACAAAACAGGGATGGGGTTGTGGCTCAGTGGTCAAGTGTCCCTGAGTTCAATCCCTGGTACCTCCCACCCTTCAAAAAACTAATAATTTGGGCTGAGGTTGTGGCTCAGTGGTRGAGTGCTTGCTTAGCATGTGCAGGATGCTGGGTTCGATCCTCGCACCACATTAAAATAAAATAAAAAAGTATTGTGTCCAACTACAACTAAAACAATATATATATATTTTTTAAAAGTAATAATTATGTGAAGAAGAAAAAATTAGTTACCAAGGCAACACAGATGTTTGGGAATTATTTTAAGGGTTACTT